CCTCCCTCATCTCTATTGTCAGTCTTTATTTCTAGTGTCCTGTCCTCCCTCATCTCTATTGTCAGTCTTTTACTAGTGTCCAGTCCTCCCTCATCTCTATTGTCAGTCTTTTACTAGTGTCCTGTCCTCCTTCATCTCTATTGTCAGTCTTTATTTCTAGTGTCCTGTCCTCCCTCATCTCTATTGTCAGTCTTTATTTCTAGTGTCCTGTCCTCCCTCATCTCTATTGTCAGTCTTTATTTCTAGTGTCCTGTCCTCCTTCATCTCTATTGTCAGTCTTTTATTAGTGTCCTGTCCTCCCTCATCTCTATTGTCAGTCTTTTATTAGTGTCCAGTCCTCCCTCCCTCATCTCTATTGTCAGTCTTTTACTAGTGTCCTGTCCTCCCTCATCTCTATTGTCAGTCTTTTACTAGAGTCCAGTGCTCACTCCCTCATCTCTATTGTCAGTCTTTATTTCTAGTGTCCTGTCCTCCCTCATCTCTATTGTCAGTCTTTTACTAGTGTCCAGTCCTCCCTCCCTCATCTCTATTGTCAGTCTTTTACTAGTGTCCTGTCCTCCCTCATCTCTATTGTCAGTCTTTTACTAGTGTCCAGTCCTCCCTCCCTCATCTCTATTGTCAGTCTTTTACTAGTGTCCTGTCCTCCCTCATCTCTATTGTCAGTCTTTTACTAGTGTCCTGTCCTCCCTCATCTCTATTGTCAGTCTTTTACTAGTGTCCTGTCCTCCCTCATCTCTATTGTCAGTCTTTTACTAGTGTCCAGTCCTCCCTCATCTCTATTGTCAGTCTTTTTCTAGTGTCCTGTCCTCACTCCCTCATCTCTATTGTCACTCTTTTTCTAGTGTTCAATCCTCTTGTGGGGTAGCAGTATAACTGGACTGACTATGTCCCTCAATGGATGTGAAAGAAAATGAGATTCTTGTACACACTGTAAAATCTTTTTCTTGGAGTCCATCGAGGGACACAAGAAGACATCTACTGTCGAGTTATACTGCCATCCACCGGAGGATTGGACACTAGTATAAAACGGACAGCAGATGGCCTTCTGTGTGCCTCATCGGACAAGAAGGAAAACGTCTATCTACTTTCCTGTTCATGGAGGCACACAGGAAGTGATCACCCTATTGATGGAGTCTAATGCCTGTGAATTACAGGAGCACTCACCAATAAGAGGTCCGATCCAATAGACGATAATATACTGCAGGTAGCTGTGACCATGGCACAAGAACACCACTGCGAAGGCCAGCACAGGGTTGAACATGGCTCCTGTCAGCGGTCCACCTTAAAAGCCATAAAACAGACCTGGACTTAGTAACAATTCAGAGCAATGGAAGGAAATGTACTATGAGAATATTGCGGCCGTCATTTACTCTATACTGTCCAGTATGCAGGAACTACAACTTCTACCGCACATGGACAACGTTTGTGTAGTAGATAGATGCATGGATCTCACCCTACATATTCTCCGATTCATTTACACGCTGCCATTGTTCATTCAACTGGATTTCTTCTTTCGGCTAAAAGCGCGGAGAGGAAATGGGCCGTGGAAAACACATCAATGCGGCTCGGGGAAATAAGTGTGAAAAGAGCGAATCTTGTAAGAGGATGAAAGTACAAAGTAGACGTTTGTGTAACCTTTGTCCTCTTATTATCCTAAGCTCGGGGTGACCGGCCTTATTCATATTCTGTGTCATGCTGACAAGCATTAAACAACGTCACCCCAGAGAACAATGCTTAGTCAGGGTGAGAAGAGATACAAGAGTTCATCCAATAAGAAGCGCGTTGTAGTCTTTGTTTTATGCACTAATAGCTGTACTGCCCCAATGCATGCACTTCAGACCTCAGCTCAGCCCCAATGCATCCACTTCAGACCACAGATCAGCCCCAATGCAAGCACTTCATACTACAGATCAGCCCCAATGCATCCACTTCAGACCACAGATCAGCCCCAATGCATAAGCTTCAGACGAGCCCCAATGCATAAGCTTCAGACCAGCCCCAATGCTTCCACTTCATATTACAGATCAGCCCCAATGCATAAGCTTCAGACCAGCCCCAATGCATCCACTTCATATTACAGATCAGCCCCAATGCATCCACTTCAGACCACAGATCAGCCCCAATGCATCCACTTCAGACCACAGATCAGCACCAATGCATCCACTTCATACCACAGATCAGCCCCAATGCATAAACCTCAGACTTTAGGCCAGCCCCAATGCATGCACTTCATACTACAGATCACCTCCAATGCATAAACTTCAGATATCAGATCTTCCCCCAATCATTTAACGCCTGACCTCAGACCACTGTAGGTATGCAGGCGGGCTACTTTCACACAGCACAGCAAGCTCCTCAGTCGCCGGGGGCCAGTGATGTCAGGGAGGAGGGCGGGCTAGGCTTTGTAAATGACAGCCTAGTGAGCTGTCAATTACCACCAATGGCAGCAGGTGCCACAGCAAACGGCATCACATGCCCACGCTGGCACTTGTGCCAAGGATTGCTGATGCCTGTTCTGAGCCTTGAGCTAACTTCCTACAAATCAGAGTTCTATACCTACATTTCCCAACAAATCGTCCCGGTGGGAAAAGGAAAGTTATAAAAACAGTTTAATTGGAGAGGATTCCCCTCGCTTCCTTTCTTAGTGAATGGTTGACACCAAGGTGTCATGATAGCATACGTACCAATAATACTGTAAGGGGCATTGCTAGGATTATATAACGCCCAGGGCACCCTGGAGCCCACCAAAGAGGGCAACTCACTGGATTCAGTGGCACACTTGGTTTGGGCCCCTTTTGCAGCACCTACTGTAATTACTTTTGCACGATATTCTAATTATTTGAGTTTCACCTGTATATATATACACACACACACACACACATATATACACACTGTATGTGAACTGTCTTGTTTGTCAAAATATTTATAAGTCTGTGATCAGTCTTATAGTCTAGACACCCCCTGCCGGACAACATAGCTAGAAATGTGACCCAATTGTATTCCTCTGCAGTTAAGCTCAAAGAGCTCACCCCTAACTTGCTTTGAGGGCAATGAAGGAGCAGCAGCACAGCGATGGGGTTATTCTTCTGCTCTCCCTTCCTGTTAGTATGTTCAGTAAAGGAGACTGACAGCACTGCCAAAAGAAATGGAGCCCTGAAAGGATCAATGTTCCAGCCCTCCCTCTCCTGGACACTGCTGTGCAGAGGATTACAGGAGGCTAATATCGGGACTAATGAAATCCCTTTGGTAGGTATATGCAAAAATATATTTATTGATTTTAGATTATTCCATAAATGGATTACTTTTTAAAAATATTTGCATGGAATTCGTCAACACAAAAACCACCGGTTCTACATTAAAGAGACTCGGAAACTTTGCCCATTGAGGGTAATCTGATCTTAAAGGAACAGCCCCCACCCACCCAATGTCTGAGACCTGACCTTCTGTAAGCTCTGTTTTGGATGGTGTCAGAGCTTACACAGGGTTAACTTCAAACTCCTCCTCATCAGGTGATGGTATTCAGGCCTGGCAGTTGGCCCGAGCACTGTATCCTCGGAGGAGGCCTTCCGATACCTAGAAGTACTGGGTATTTACCAAGGGTTGCAATGGAGTGATGGGTTCTTTTCAATAAAACATCCAATCAATAAGAGTACAGTACTACAGAACACGTATGTAGCCCTCATATGATCAATAACCCCCCCCCCCAGCCCCTTCCTTACCTGCATAGGCAATTCCAGTGATGGTCAGAGCCGCCATATGAGGCTGCAGAGGAGCACTGACCCTGGGAAGAGGGTACAGAATCAGGAACATGCTCAGAGCACAGGTCATCTCCACTAAGGCCCCAGACAGAGGGGATACTTGCAGGGGGCTCATGCAGTCCTTGTTCAGCTGGTGCAGCGGTGACAGTCCCAATGACCAGAGGTGGGGCATGAGCACCCGAGAGAGTCCAGCGCCTGCAAACTGCACCATCACCTTCAGGAGAGTGTGTGACCCCGGCGCCAGGCCCCGCAGCCACTGATTTACACTACCACAGGGGTTACAAGTGGCTGTTTGGAAAGTCATACAATGCAGCACAGTCAGCAGGTAGATCAGAGCTAGTACCAGCCAGAGGTCCAAATCTGCCTTTGCGCAGAGCAGACCCATCTCCAGGGTACAGCAGCACAGCTGCACAGTGGACACCACTTCCAAGGCCAGCTCTAGCCCCAGACCTGGAGGCAGACTCCGGTGGCATGCCCAGCGAAGCAACTCACAGAGCAGCACTGTGCAGGCAACCAGGGCTGCCGAGCCCAGCAAGAGCTCCAGAACATCCATCAATCCACTGGATTCTGAGGCACCGTCTCCAATACCCTTCTTCTGCTGCTGGATTCTGGGGCACAGTGCCCACTATTGTGGTTCCTCTGCTGGGTTCTGGGGCACAGTGCCCACTACCCCTGTTCCTCTGCTGGGTTCTGAGGCACAGTCCCCACTACCCCTGTTCCTCTGCTGGGTTCTGAGGCACAGTCCCCACTACCCCTGTTCTTCTGCTGGGTTCTGAGACACAGTCCCCACTACCCCTGTTCTTCTGCTGGGTTCTGAGGCACAGTCCCCACTACCCCTGTTCTTCTGCTGGGTTCTGAGACACAGTCCCCACTATCTCTGTTCCTCTGCTGGGTTCTGAGACACAGTCCCCACTACCCCTGTTCCTCTGCTGGGTCCTGGAGCACAGTGCCCACTAAACCTTGTTCCCCCTGCTGGATTCTAAGGCACAGTCCCCACTATCTCTGGTCCTCTGTTGGATGTCTGAGAACAGTCTTGTAGTATTTCTGCTCTTCAGCCGGGTGACAGACAAGTCTCCTCCACTCTACTACAAACCTCCTGACACCTCAGGTCAGAGTCTACTGGAACTCCTCCTCTGCTGGGGGCAGTAGTAAAAGATTCAACTACTTAGTGTTTTTGGTTATCTCTGTCTCAGAAAGTTGTCTTCTGCCGCTCCCTACAGGCAGTTAGAAAGTTGCCTCCATTGGATGGATAGAAACTGCTCAAAAAAAATAAAGGAACACTTTGAAAACACATCAGATCTCAA